GCAGAGGATGTCAAAAAATTCATAATTGAGTTTTCAAATCATATGAAAGCTAGTAATATTACTGATATAGAAAATGATTACACAATTAGGTACCTGTCCTTTTTCATGTTATGCAAGATTTCCTAAACTGACCGAGCAGTATTTTATCAATACTCGATGGCCTTCCGTCGAAATGATTGTTCCTCTAGTTGGAGATGGTACTTTGACTATTATTCTATTTTAGATCGTTACTTTCTAATGCTTTATCGCGAACTTTACTATCGACACATCTACGCTCACAACACTACTGGCCTCTCAGTCGATGATATGCGCAACTCATTTGCCAACTACTGTTCACTTTTTGCTGAACTCTTAGGTAGATTACTTTTATGCCAGTTAATGTACATAAAACTAATATTTACTTTAGTTTCATCCTTATATTTTGGCTAATGATTGTTGTCTCATTCTAGATGCATCGAAACCTTTGTTACTTGAGCTTCCCTGTCAGTGGTTATGGGATATTATTGATGAGTTCATCTACCAGTTTCAAAAATTCACTATATTTCGTTCGCGCTCCAAGCACAAGCCAGATGAAGAGGCATTACTCAAAGAAAATCACAAAGTTTGGAGCATCCACAGTGTTCTTAACATCCTGCATAAGCTTGTAGAGAAATCAAATATCAATGAACAATTACAGTACTACGCTACATCATGTAACTTATTCTTTAGATCTATGCAAACTTTGATCATTGTTTCATATGCTTTTTTGTTGAACCTTAACTCGATTTGATGAATCATGTTAAGCATCTTTACTTAATGAACTTGGTGTCTGTTTTTTATTTTGAAAATTCCTTTAGATTCCATGAACGCTAATTATTGTTTTTTTTATTCGGGCACTCGACATTACACTAGCTGATCCTGACCTGGTTGCTGGCGAGTTTGGTTCGTGCCCCGTTTATAAGATGTTGGGATTCTTCAGTCTTATTGGATTGTGCCGTTTGCATGTTCTGCTTGGGGACTATTTCAAAGCACTCCGTTTTCTCAAGCATATTGATCTCAGTCGCATAGTAAGTTTTTAAATTTAATATGAAAATTTGTTGTTTTTGCCCTATGTTTACTTGCAGTAGATTACTTAATTACAATATTTTTACCTCGTATCTTCTTGTTTTCGACCTGGCTGAAACTTTTTTCAGTTTTCCATCGATTTTATCATCATTAACTTCAAAATGAATTGTCTTTAGTTATTTGTATGGATGTCTAGTAAATGCTTATCTAAAATGCTAGTTTAATCGTTTTATATCTTAAGACTTCAATAGACACTGACCTAGGCGAAAATCTAAAATGCTATTTGTTACTTTGCTTTATATGATTTCCCGAATTAATATGCTCATGTTTTACCCCTTGGTGAGGTAGACA